TGATTGCGGATAAAAAACCAAGCTAGTTTTATGTCCATTTATATCTGTTTTCATCCGACATATCTGATTTTACCCGACATGTCGGTTTTTATCTGCAATTGCGGGTATACATATTATCCGCGAACGTCGGGTTTTATCTATTTAGTTCTATGTCTGCTTTCTTCTGGTTTCATCCGCAAATACCTCGTCTGATTTATCCGATTTCACCTGCAAACATCTGCTTTTATACGTGAAGATCTACTTTCATCCGCGAACATCTATTTTAATCCACAAACATCTGATTTCATCCGCAAACATCTACTTTGGTCCGCAAAAGTCTGCTTCATTCGATTTCACCTGCAAACATCTGCTTATATCCGCAAAGATCTGCTTTTATCTTTGAACATCTGCTTTAATCCACAAACTTCTGTTGTAATCCACAAACATCTAATTTAGTCCGCAAAAACCTGATTCATCCGATTTCACCTGCAAACATCTGCTTTTATCCGCGAAGATCTGCTTTTATCTGTGAACATCTGTTTTAATCCGCAAACATCTGATTCTATCCGCAAACATCTGCTTTTATCCGCAAACATCTGTTTTAATCTCCAAACATCTGCTTTTATCCGCAAACATCTAGTTTAATCTGCAAACATCTGATTTTATCCGCAAACATATGCTTTTATCCGCAAACATCTGATTTTATCCGCAAATTAGTTTACCTGCTTTGTCAAATTTTACTGAGCTTTAACTAACTGGTTGTTAGCCGTTCACGGCACACAACTTTATAATTAACTCTAAAAGGAATTATTTGAATAAAAACAATCTGTAAAGGAAATAAGTTTATTCAACAGGACATTTTCCCAATGGGAAAATAATTTAATTATATTCACCAGAATTAAATTTAAAAATCAGGTATACTATAGTGAAGAGTACCACAGAAATAATAAGTCTATTAATTCTTACATATATATTAAAAATATTGGTTATGCCAAAATTAAAAAGTTTATAAAGTTAGATAAATAATTCTACGCTGAAATAAGCATTTTTCAAACAAATTCCATACAAATTGAAGATGTTATAATTCCTAATGTGAACGGCTAACAACCAGTTAGTTAAAGCTCAGTAAAATTTGACAAAGCAGGTAAACTAAACTAAAGTATACACGAGAAAAAGGAAAACAAAAGGCGCGAATGAAACCAGACGTTTGCGTTCGAAACAGGACCGAAATGGACAAAGGAAATGCAGGCAAACCGAACGCGGATGAAAGCAGAGGTTTGCAATTAAAAGCAGATGTTTGCAGATGTTCGCGGATAAAAGCAGATATTTGCGGATAAATGCAGATGTTTGCGGATAAAATCAGATGTTTGCGGATAAAATCAAATATTTGCGATTAAAATCAGATGTTTGCGATTAAAATCAGATGTTTGCGGATAAAAGAAAATGTTTGCCGATAAAAGCAGATGATTGCGGATAAAATCAGATGTTTGCAGATAAAAGCATGTTTGCGGGTGAAACCGTATAAAAGCAGATGTTTGCGTATAAAATCAGATGTTTGCGGATAAAAGCAAATGTTTGCCGATAAAAGCAGATGATTGCGGATAAAATCAGATGTTTGCAGATAAAAGCATGTTTGCGGGTGAAACCGTATAAAAGCAGATGTTCGCGGATAAAAGTAGATGTTCGCGGATGAAAGCAGATGTTCGCGGATGATTGCAGATGTTCGCGGATAAAAGCAGATGTTTGCGGGGGTGCACTAACCGGATAAACTCAGGCGTTCGCAGATAAAAGCATGTTTGCGGGTGAAACCGTATGAAAGCAGATGTTTGCGGATAAAACCAGACGTTTGCGGATGAAAGCAGATGTTCGCGGGTGATTGTAGATGTTCGCGGGTGATTGCAGATGTTCGCGGGTGATTGCAGATGTTCGCGGATAAAAGCAGTTGTTAGCGGATGAAATCAGATGTTCGCGGATAAAAGCAGATGTTGGCGGATAAATCAGATGTTCGCGGATAAAAGCAGATGTTCGCGGATGATTGCAGATGTTCGCGGATAATAGCAGATATTTGCGGGTAAATGCGGGGATGCACTAACCGGATGATATCAGGCCTTCGCAGATAAAAGCATGTTTGCGGGTGAAGCCGTATGAAAGCAGACGTTCGCGGGTAAAAGCAGATGTTCGCGGATAAAAGCAGTTGTTCGCGGGTGATTGCAGATGTTTGCGAATGAAAGCAGATGGTCGCGGATAAAAGCGGATGTTGGCGGATAAAAGCATATGTTGGCGGGTGAAATTGGACTAGGCAGACGTTTGCGGGTAAAACCAGACGTTTGCAGATAAAACCCGACAAAAATAGACAAAAAAAATGCAGGTAATCGCGGATAAAACCAGACGTAAGCAGACGTTTGCAGATGATTCCGGACAAATTCAGATATAAACGACACACAGTGAAGACGGTTAAAAACAGATGATTGCAGATGATTGCGGGGGTGCACTAACCGGACATAAAACACAACCACGCGGATATAGCGATGCGGACAAAAGCAGATGTTATCAGATGATATTTTTACCCGCTTTTATTTACTTTTATCCGGCTTCGACGAAGAATTTATACCCACAATCATCTGCTATTATCCGCGGTTTTGACGAAGAATTTATATCCGCAATAATCCGTCATTTTCAGCAGGGATTTTATATTGAGTTGTCCATAATGATAAACGCTTTTGAGAAAATAAAATAAAAAAACTGTAACCTCTTTTTAAATAAATAAATTTAAAAAATAAGTATTTTATTATACAAGAGGTAATGCAGGCTTATTATTATTCACGATGATGTGATAATTGATTTGGCGCCACTGGTCTGTCAAATTTTAACATTTTTTTTCTTCAAAAATTGCTTTTCAAGAAATTATACAAAATAATAATAATATTATTTATTAGTGCCATTACTAAAAGGTTTAAAACGTCAGAAAAATACAAATATAAAAATAGTAAATAGAAAAGTAGATACAAATTAAACAAAGTTTAAAAACTCATCAATAATAATGTATTGTGGTTTATTTTTCTCATTTTCGTGAAAAATATGACGAAAAAACGTTTTTTCTTTGTAAACTGGAATAATATCCAGTTTCCAGTGGTAAAAAATTGTTACCAACAATTTTTCTTGCAAAAAATAAATAAAAACTCAATAAATACAAAAGTGTTATGCCCTTAAAGCTCTAATACCCTTCTGTATTTATTTACTCATCCAGCTATTAGCTTAATCAATGATTTATTAATTTAGTACATACCTATTTTAAAAACTCCATAACCACAAAATTATTTGTTTCATCGGTTTTTTTCTTTTGTTAACATTCAATTTGTGTAAATAAATCCAGTTAAGATATTTACATTTATTGAGCACATAACCTAAAATTTGAAAGAAATGCACTAGATTCTGTCATAAGTTGCCAGATTTTGTTTGAATTTACTTATTACAAAAATGACATAATCAACAATTAATAAAAACGTCAAATTAATAATTTGCATTGTTGATTTTGTCATTTTTGTAATTTAAACAAAATCTGGCAACTTTTTTGACGAAATCTGAAAACGCTAACATAGGTAATAAATTAAATTAGGCAACCAGATTAGCCTACAGTTCCTAGTCGATCAGTGGCGTACGTTTTGGTAGGTTATTATAAATTATTTTTAGTCTTTAGAATTTAGAAGAAAAAAGTTTTAGGTTCTTTTTAATATATTACATTAGTGGAAAAACATATATTTTTCTTGAAATAATCTTTTTAAAAAACTATATTAGGTATAAGATTATAAGCTTCTAAGGAAATGGTTTAAAAATGCAAAACTTTCGAAATAAAATTTATTTATTTAACGAATAGTGTGCAGAATTCTTGACATAGGTTAAAAAAATTGGTAAATTAAATAAAACACAAGTGCTGCTTAATTCTACATTTCTACATAAATTTTTCGTCTAATTATTTTTCCTTCTAATTTGTTTAGTTATATAATTCTAGTTTCTATTATTTCATAGATATATAATATGTATTTATTTATAGATTAAATTGTATATGGTATAATATATTTATATTTAAATTAATTAGTATAAAATTAAGTAACAATTTAATAGGGCTCTGATAAAATTGGAAATAAAGTTTAACAGTTTATTTTATTATACACAATATTAAAATAGAGTAAATATATATTCTTTCAAGTATAGATAGATTATAAATAAATATTTCGAAATTTAGACTATAATAATAATTCATTTAAATAATAAATATGGGTTAGGAAATTTAATCTTTGTTCTTAAAGCAAAAATAATCGTTCATTTTAAAAAAGTAAATAAAATGCAGTTTTGAAAATGAACGATTTATACGTAATTTAAGTGGTACATATGTAAATATTTTTCCTACTAAACTAAATAAAATCTCACTGTACAATTTCTTTGTTTTTACAAATCTCATGTACAACTTTGGAAGTTTGTCATGGACATTGCATTATAAAATCATATGTATTTTAAAAACTACAATTAATATAAATTTGAAATTTTGGCACGTTTTTAAGTATAGCATTGCCACACTTGTTACCAAATTTCAAAAATTTTCGTGTAATAGTTTTTAAGATAAATTAATTTTGGGAAATGTTCAAAACAAAAATCCAGGCTTGTCTTGGTATTTGCTTGTGTACCACTTACGTCACATGTACTACATGGCCCTGCATGAAAATGCACGTCAGTCTTGAAGGAAACAAACAAAAAAGTACGCAATCAAAATAAATTTAAAATTAAACACATTTTAATGCTTTAACAATTTATTTTGATGGGTACAACATTAGGATTGACATTTTAAATTGAAACAAAACATTGAAGTTTTGTCGAATTTAAGTGACAACATTGAAACAAAAAATGACGCTCCATTTTTTTTATAATTGACATGTTAAAATTCGTTTGCCTTTTGTTAATTGGCTGGACATAATTAACAGAAGGAAACATAAGTTAAATTATAAATAAACTTGGTCAATATGCATTTAGTTTTTTTCTTCGGAGTTGTTTGTTTTCACGTGGGGGGTTTGAGCTGGAGTTGGGTCGTCTTGGAACATTGGGTTCTTGACTTCCATTTCTCCAGTCTAAAATGAAAAATAAAATACATTAAAAAAGATTTACATTAACAGTATTTTATTAATTTGTGTTGTATGTTCTAAGGTATATGTTTTATTTACTAAAGTGAAGTCTGTCTATCTTTTTTTGTAAATATTGTTGCAATAAAAATACAAAATATTGTAGCGAGTACGGCTCTGGATCTCGGAATGATGACTCATCGCCGATGAGTCATCGCCGGTGAGTCAGCGCTCGAATAATCGAGAGTGTGGAGCTCGCTGGAATGTTCCAGAAGACTTAGGCGCTGAATATATAAGGAACGACGCATCATCGAGAGTCAGTCCAGTTTTGGTACTCGCGTCGAAACAAATAAATATACGTGCAAATAAATAGACTAGTAGTGATATATAAATAATTAGTAGTTAAGTGTTTAGTTAGTTTTATGGTTTCTTAGTGTTTTAAGTGTAATTAAGTTATTAAATAAATAGTTTAGTTCGTTAATAAACCAGTGCGTGTTTTAATTCACACTACGAACAGTTATAAAAACGTTACAATATAAATACCTGGCATGAAATAATTCATATAATACATAATATAAATATTGTATATATTATAATATATTATGATCCACCTACAGAAAAATTGTTTTGGTAAATAATAAATTTTGTTTTAATATGAAAAGTACAATATGTACGACTTTTACTAAACATACATATAGGCATTTTTACAAATTCATAAATTAAAAACACAATATATTGTGTTTTTAATTTATAATTTATAAATACAAAAGTGTTATGCCCTTAAACCTCTAATACCCCTCTGTATTTATTTACTCATCCAGCTATTAGCTTAAGCAATGATTAGAAAATTTAGTACCTATTTATAAAACTCCATAACCACAAAATTAATTTTTTCATCGGTTTTTTTCTTTCTGTTTACTCAGATGAAATTAGGACAAGTTTACAGGTTAAACTTTAAACATTCAATTTGTGTGAATAAATCCAAAAGCACTTCACTTAGTTAAGATATTTACAATTTGAGCACATAACCTAAAATTTGAAAGAAATGCACTAGATTCTGTCATACAAGTTGCCAGATTTTGTTTAAATTTACCTTCATTACAAAAATGACATAATCAATAATTAATAAAAACGCCAAATTAACAATTTTCATTGTTGATTTTGTCATTTTTGTAATTAATCTAAATTTAAACAAAATCTGGCAACTTTTTTTGACAGAATCTGGAAACGCTGGTTGCTACCAACTATAACATAATGAGTTAAATAGGCAACCAGATTAGCCTAGTCGGTCAGTGGCGTACTGCTTCTTTATGGACCCTAAGGAACTAACCAATTGTTTAACATTTTTTAAGAAATTACTTAAGAAAACCCAGGGCAAATTTGGCTAACTTGAAAAGTTAATAACTTTTTATTTTAAATGTAACATAATCAAATAGAAAATAAAAATATATGCATCTACAACTTGTCAACACCCTGTAGGTATTATGCCCCAAATTTTCCACAAGATAAAAACTTGACCTTGCACTTAACTTTTAACATCATTAAATTTGCAAAAGCCCGAACTCTTGCAGAAGAGCAAAACGTGAGAGTGGATTTTTTTTGCTTCGTCTTATCGAGAGATTTGTAAGATGCGCGTTAAGTTAACGGCCATTATCAATCTCAATAAATCTTCGGTTTCCGTGCTTTAGCTACATGCCGTCAACTTAACCCGCATACGTCAAACGTTTGAGAAGAAATAATGACCATTTAAATAAATGAGTGAATTTTTGTTTAAATACGTCCATAAATAACAGAAATAACGTAAAAACAAAAGAAGGTCAAGAACTTCAAAAGATCAAGACCAATCGGGTGATGTTTTTTACCTCCTAGTCTGTAAATAAAACCTGTTCGAACCAATCAATAAATTTGACTGACCAAGCTACCTTATATAATTTATTAAGTCATTAAGTAATAATTTAATATTATTCACTATAATTTTGTACTTACTGGAGCTAACCCAGGACATTCATAGACAGTGTAATCTCCTTCTTCGTTTTCTTCTTCACTGTCAGCTTCCGATACGGATCCATGTCTGCCAGTTGCCGCAGCTCTACTGAAAAAAATAAAAACAAAAATTAGTTATGGAAAGTTTAGACACATTTGTTAAAATTTAAAAGCATACGAACTGTATGTGTATTAGGGTGTTTCAAAAAAATCGACTTTTTCTTTTTCTTCAAATGGTCAGCAAATTCTTTCAGAGGATGTCAAAACAAAGACCTTGTTAAAATTTGAGCTTTTAATTTGAAGATTTGAGGTCGCGGGTCGCAATTTTCTATTTCCCATTTAAATAACATAGGAAATTTTTTTTTAACTTCTAACTGGAATTTTATACGTCTATATCGAATCAACTTATGGCAAGGAACATCTTAGATTTTTATAGTAAATTTAACGCTCTATAAAAAATGTCTCTTATAATTTTTCTATAAATTGATTTCTTCCAGAGTTATTCGAGGCCAAAGTTTGATTTCCATCGAATTTTGTCGTTTTTTCATGTTATTTAAATGGGAAATAGAAAATTGCGATCCGCGACCTCTAAATCTTCAAATTAAAAGCTCAAATTTTGACGAGGTCTTTGTGTTGACATCCTCTGAAAGAATTTGCCGACCATTTGAAGAAAAAGAAAAGTGGATTTTTTTGAAACACCCTAATGTGTATCATTTTTAAATATATAGGTAGTTTTTTTACAAAAGAGTCATAATCGACAAATTTTATTTAAATGCACAGCTAAATCGCGCACGTTATTTGTGTTTTACGATGCAAGGAAAAAATTAAAAAACTTTTTTAGTACTCGATTTCGATTGATTATTCCTTATATCATTGATTAAGAACTCAACGCTTAAATTCTTATATAGTTACGTTAGTGTGTGTATTTTATCAAAGGGATCATGGTGAATTATTGTGTTTTTAATTGTAAAAAAATTCATGAACTAAATCGTTGCATTTTCATGTTTTGCCAAAGGATCCAATTCGGTAAGTACATTTGTGGGTGCAGAATTAACTAATGATAACTTCACCTAATATAATTTATATTTAAGTTTTGACATATTTAAGAAATTAGTAAAATATAATTTTTGCACAAACATAACCTTAAAATCAACCATTTTTATGTTTGAGTTCTCTAAAAAACGCCGACAACTGCATTTTAAACAACAAAATATACCTACGAATTCATGGCAAAATAATATTATATATAATACATAATATAATGGTATTTTACCGTTGAGTGGAGACTTTCTTAAGCAACGCTTTTAATAATGCTAAATGCTGTTTAAATTTAGACAACTTATTTGTTTGACGATTTTAACTGAATTGAAATGTTTACACTTTTCACGTTAATCACCACTAAAATGTGTATTTATTGTATCTGAATGAAGAAATAAATTGCATACAGTCTCTGTAAATATAAATTGTACCTATTATAATAGGTACAATTTATATTTACAGAGACTGTATGCAATTTATTTCTTCATTCAGATGAACACTGTTTATTGGAAAACCGGTAAAAACTCAACCCAGGATTTCCTCTCGAAATACTCACAACAACACAACAAATCGAGCCACGGTTTTATTTAGATATTTTTTTAACATTTTTTGCCTTTATTTTCAAAAACACTCGTTTGTATCATAAGCGTTTGACAGCTGATTATTAAAAGTTATACTTTTGTTACGATGTAACAACCGAGTGGTGGCGCTACTAGCGATACTTCTTTAGCGTATAGTAACGGCGAATCCGCCATTTTTGACAAATTTATAGAACATGAAAAACATTATCTTACTTGATTTCAAAAAAGTTTTTAAAAATAAACATAAACAACATCCCCGAAAAAACCGACTTTTAAGACTTAATCGTGTTATAGTTATACTATGTTTCATTTTTAACATGGCAGAAAATTAAAAGTTAAAAGTTAGCTACTAATTACCATAGATATAATTCGCAAAAACTTCTTATCGAGCAAATGTAGGTAACAGCTTTTAACTTTTAAGCAACGTTAAATGTCTTTAAAATTAAATATCCAAGATAGGTATTTTAAATTGTAAAATATTTTTATTAATGGTATTTACATTCTTCAATATTTATTTATTATTTCGAGGTTAATTTTAGAGCCATTAAAACTTAACTTCCCTTTATGCATACAGGCCAGAATTATGTATTTCATTATAAAATATTTTCTCAAGGGAGTTGCCCTTAGGGTGGGTAAATATGTCGCCTTAATAATTAATTTGTTGCCCTTGACGCGTCAGGTGCAAAATGTTAAAGCTAAAAGGAATAATGACGAATAATCCTTGATAAATCATCGGAATTTGCCAACACAAACGTTCAAGGTAATAAGCCACAAAATTGATGGTGCAAATTGAAAAAAGCACTAATTCAAAGGATGTCTCTCCGAGACTCTCTCGGTAGCGTGTCAAGTTTTACGAATGAAGTAGGGTAAAGTAGACAGTTATCGGACATGTCCACTTTATAGTTATTGGACAATAGGGTGATTCATTTCCGCAAAAAACTTTTTTTTTCTAGGCGCTCAAGCAAAATATTAATCTACCTATAGAAAAAAAAAATTCACCAAGGTAGAGCTCTTAATATCAATATCAAGTACTTGCAGTTTAAATTTAAAGTTTTCCCATTTAAAATGCATGTAAAAAAAATGTTTTTTTTTTTTTCAAATTTCTAATGCTCGCCCGCTCTTTACAATATTGTGAATCGGTTTTATAGACCTTATAGGGAATTTCACGCTCTTCAAAATTGTCTTTGTGTTTTTTTGTGTAACTAGTAGTGGTTCGCCAGTAGGAGTCATCAAAGTTCAATTTTTTGAATGAACATTTTTTTGCATTTTTTTTTAACAATTCGCAAAAAATAGTGAAAAAAAAGAGCTGAATCGTTAAAAATAGTCTTTTAACAAATATTTGATGAATTTACGGCCATTTTTATATCTTAAAACGTAAGTAATTGATAAATATTAATTATGCTATTTAAATTAAACTTTCTTATTTACTATCGATATAATTCTCTACAACAATAACTTTTCCAGAGTTATTATGATTTTTGACTTATAATAAATATAAAAAAACACATTAATTTATAAAAAAAACAACAAATATACAATTGCAACTTAGATTCTGCAATTTTTCAACATTTCCGTAATATAGCAATAAATATAAATGAAGGTTATTCAATTTTTTTAACAAAATTCTTAAATTAACGAAAAAGTAAATTGTTTTTATTGTCAAATTCATTTGCTTCAATATTGTATAAGTGGAAATTGCTATTTGAATAATTGCACTAAATAATATTTTGATGGCATATTCGAACATAAGTAAAAAAATAATGATAATTATTTGATTGAACTTTGATGACTCCTACTGACGAACCACTACAAGTTACACAAAAAAACACAAAGACAATTTTGAAGAGCGTGAAATTCCCTATAAGGTCCATAAAACCGAGTCACAATATTGTAAAAAGCGGGCGAGCATTAGAAATTTGAAAAAAAACCATTTTTTTACATGCATTTTAAATGGGAAAACTTTAAATTTAAACTGCAAGTACTTAAAATTGATATTAAGAGCTCTACCTTGGTGAAATTTTTTTTTCTATAGGTAGATTAATATTTTGCTTGAGCACCGAAAAAAAAAAAACTTTGCGGAAATGATTCACCCTATTGGACAATTAACATTAACACTGTAAAAACAAGAGTTCTATAAATAGTTACCTTAAAGTCAAATCATTAGATGACGCTCTATACAATTATAACTATCTCAGTAGGTAATAATATAGAACTCATTATTTTGGGTCCAATATAGGACAAACAGTTCGCACGTTACTTTGGTGGTAAGATTTTTGTTTTTTTGTTAAGAGCAGGGCTGTGTTTAAATTACAACTACGCGTGACATAAATAACTATTTACACATTCTATTGTGTTAAAAATTAACATAAGTAATAAAAATACAAAAAAACTAAAAAAATTGAGTGGACTTTCTGGGACACAAGAAATATGTTAAATATACATATAAATTTTTTACTGTGTACTTTGAATTATGTACCGTGGCAAAGTCCTTGCAGAATTATGTATCCTTCCATTCGTTTCAAACCAGTTAGGTGTAACGTTTAATTTGTTTTGTCTTCTGATCTTCCAGCGTAAATTTGATACAACATGCGCCTTGTTTGTATTCGCAAAATAGAATGTTAAAGTTTATCGGTGTCTCGTGTAATAACTTTTAAGTTCTGAAAAGGTGTTTCCAGCATTTATAAGCTAGTTTATATTCAAAAAAACATTAAATTATATTCTAATATATTCTCCAATTCGGTATGTGGGTCATTTTCAAAATTCTTGTACAAGGTGATCCCCTATAATGTCGCCCCCCTTTAACTTTTTTATTTTAAGTGTCCCAAAAAATTGGTGGTTATGTAGGAACTAAAAAATACTTTTTTTCTACGTATAAAGAAAATTGGAAAATTGATCATTATACAGGGGAAAACAAAAAGTTTATTTTTTTTCAATGGATCACCCTATATTTGAATTTATTTTTCGATTCCTTGTAAAATTGCCACAAGGGGGCAGCATCAAAAAATGTGCGCTTAATTCAAAAGGTCATTTATAAAAGCTGTGACCCAGGAGACGTGACCTAGGGGACCAAAATTAAGGGGCAAACTTTAGGGGTTATTTTAACCACCTGTATTTTTAAATATTACCACAAATGGGCTTTTTCTGTAATACTTGGAATATATTCCCAACTATAAAAAAAGGAGGATGTTACTTTCTCTAAGATGTTTAAATAGCATTAAGTAGTAAATATTATTGCAAGTGGAACAGCTACTTTTCTGTACTGTTGGGGAAAGTTTATTTTTTATTGAGTTAAATTTAAAATTTTAAGAATGTCAAAAAATCCAAACCTGAAAATCCTCCAAAAGGTTCTAAACATGTCCTAAAACCTACAAATATATAAATAAAGGACATATTTCTTGAAATTTATCTATACTGTCTAGAACTAGAAATTTGCAAAATTTAATTTAGCAAAGTAACTGCTGAAAATGCAATATTCATAAAAAACCAATGC